GGGAAAGAAGACAAATTACTGAAGATCTCAGGAGGAAGGAAACTGAGTTCAAAACTTTGAGCACAAGGAGATAATTCATCAGGGAAGATATTAAAACAGAAGCAAAGATGGCCTCCAGGATATCTAAATGAATCTAAACATCTCTGAATAAATATTTCAAGACACGTGGAAAGGAATCAATATCTGATAAGAAATAGGAACCTATGACTTCCCAAAAAGTGTGGAACCACAGCAGTATTGTATCAAATGATTCAAGAGAAAAATAAAAAAAAGTGGAAGCAGATTTTATGGCTTATACAGAAAAAAAAAGACTATAAAAACCCACCTTGAACCCACAGGAATGAGACCTTCCAAAGAATGCAATGGATTGGGAATACCAATATACAGGAATGAAGAACAATCTTGAAGCAGAGAAACAGAAAAGCAATAATCCTTTTTAAAAAATGCACCTGATCTCTATACAAGCAAAATACTGTGTCTTAAAGACAGCATGCATAAAGATAAGAGTTATGTGAAAGAAAATTATAATGATGAAACAATATACTAAAATTTCTAGGATGCAGCTAGAACAGTCTGGGAGTAGAGGGTGAGGAATTAGATCCCTAAAAATATACTTTATCAAAATTGAAAAGGAGAGAATTAATGACATGAATATTCACTTTAAAAATTAAAAATGTAATAAATATCCCAATATAAGAACAAAAGAGGAGATATGGAAATTAAAGGAAAAATAGATAAGTTGGAAACATAAAATAATAAAGAATAAGCAAAACTAAAAGCTATTTTTTGAAAAGACTAACAAAATTGATAAATCTTTAAGAAATATGATTTTAAGAGTAGGGCAGAAAACCAAATCAACAAAATAATAAAGGAACAAAGTGAAATCATAATTGGAAGATATAAAAGTAATCTTGAGAAGCTACCATGCACATATATAAGCTAACAAAATGAGAAGACAAAAGAAAAAGATTAATACCTTCAAACACATAAAATGCTCAAATAAACAGAAGACCAAAAAGTGTTCTTAAATAGCTCAGTCTCAGAAAAGGAAAGTAAGCTAGATATAAAGGAAGAAAGGGGGGGAAAAAACTTCCTGATTTTGACAGATTTACAGAGAAATTCTATCAAACCTTTAAATAATGATTAGTATCGCTATTACAAAAATAATTCTCAAAATCTGAAAACAAAACACTCAGACTCCTTTTATGACATAAATATAATCATACCTAAACCAATGAAAGATAAAGCAAAGAACTATAGACTACTATTATTAAGGAATATCAAATTAAAATTTTAAATAAAATCTTATCAAAGAGACTCTTATAACCCACTTTTAGGGGATATGATGTGGATGATAAGTTATTGAAGGAGACCAAGAAATTAACAGTTACTTAATGTAATAGTAGATTGTAGTGTAATAATAAAGCACTACATAAATAGTTTATATAAATAATATAAATATAAACACATGTGTAAGCAATATTTACAAACATCAATCAATAAACATTTGTAAAGCAAAAAAAAAAGACTATTGCAATTCATCTAGGAAGCCATGCTTTATGACCAAGATGAATATATATCAGGGATTCAAGTATGATTTGATATTAGGGAAATAATCACCATAATTAATCATATTAAAAGCCGAAAGCATCCAAGCCCACATGATTATGAAAAAGACTGACAAAGTATAAGATTTATTTATACTAAAATCTATACAAAATATAGACATAGAGGGACCTTTTTAATGTCATACCAAGGATCGATCTAAAACCAAAAGTGAGAATAATATATAATGGGTATACACTAGAACATTTCCCAATAGATATAGTGATAAAGCAAGAATGTCCACTCTTCCTGCTATTATTTTATATTAGAAATGCTAGCAAAAGCAATAAGAAAAAGAAAATACAAGTATGAAGATATTCAAAGAGGAGACAAAACAATCCTTATTTGCTATAATATGTGGTTTTATTTGGAAAATACTAAGGAATCTGCAAAGATATTAAGACAATTAATAACTAGCAAATTTGTAGGCTACAAAATAAACTATCAAAAATCAATATGATTTCTATATAATAATGACAAAATCCAAAAGACAATAATAATACAAAGACAGATCTCATTCGAAATAACTACAACTTGCATAAGATATTTAGGGATCTATCTACAAAATGTACAAAATATTGCACAGATTCAATTATAAAATTTTCCTTAATGAAAAAAGAAAGGCCAATGTAAATAATTGGATGTTCATATGGATGTGTTCATAACTATGATATGCTAATATAATAAAAATGACAGTACTATCAAAGTTTAATTACTGTTTTAATGTGATGCCAATTAAACTAACAAATGGATATTTTAAAGAATTTGATAAAATAGTAATGAAATTCATGTGGAATAATATAAAATCTAAAATATTAAGAGAAATAATGAAAAAGGAATTGCTGTGGGTCTGAGAGGTTCAGAGACCCCTCAAGGACTGGAGTACAGAACAGGGTCGTCTAGAATGAATTCACAGACTCAAGCATTCTTTAGGTCAAGTTGACAACGATTTATTATCTTTTCAGTAGGCAAGGGTTCTTAAGGAACGTATGAGAGACTGAGGATGGTTGTGGGGTTTATATGGAAAAGGGGCATGGGAAAGGAATGCCAGGGATACTAATTAGGTAATCTAAAGGTCCAGGTGTCTTTGGGAGCTATGGATGGGAAAGTGTAGGGAGTATATCAGACATTGAGGTAGGAGGCATGGACCTTGGGGTTCTCATGGGAGGAAGAGTCCTTGGATCAGACAAGGACAAAAATCCTTGGGCCAAGCACCTCTCTCTGTCCTGATAAGAGAATGTGTTCTGCAACAAGAGAAAATTTTCTCACAAGACAGGAGCCTACCAAGAAATTGGGGGGGGCAGGGGAGCTAGGTGGTGCAGGGGATAAAGCTCTGGCCTTGGAGTCAGGAGGACCCAAGTTCAAATCCAAACTCAGACACTTGACACTTACTAGCTGGGTGACCTTGGGCAAGTCACTTAACCCCAACTGTCTAAAACAACAACAACAACAACAAAAAGAAATTGGGAGGCTTCCAGAGACATGATCTTAGGGGCTGGGGCCTGAGTAGCCCGTCACTCTCTCACCCAGCTTTGTGTAACTGTACCAGGGAGACAGATAAAGGTCTTGCTGGGGCCCACTTATGAGTAATTGCTAGGCACAGTGTTCTTGGGCTGGGGGGAAACTGCCAAGGATAGTGTTTCTGAGGCTAGAGAAAAACTGGGGTCCAAGCACCCCATCAGCAAGAATGGAGGAAGAGCATTCTAGACCTCAAAGTATATCAAAAGTTGCATCCATAAAAACCTTTTGGTATTGGTTTAAAAGAAGAGTTGATCAATATAATAGCCTAGACGAGGGAGAATCAGAAACAATGGAACTCAACAACCTGGTGTTTGATAAACCCCAAAAGAAAAATTGCTGAAGAAAAAAACTATTTTGACCAAAACCTTATACCATAATCCACAATTAGTTGAAAATGGATATGTGACCTTAAAAAAAAATCATAACATAAAAAATGAAAGAGAAGCAAATTATAAACCTTTCACAGCTACAGATAGGAAATATATTCTTAAAAGTAGAGTTTGAAAGAAAATAAGATAAAATAGATCATTTTGAGTACAAGAAATTGAAAAGCTTCTACAAAAACAATATATAAATATACATAAATATATATATGCATATATGTAATTATATACATACATAAAGATATAGATATATGACTTTTGACCATGCATATACAACACAAAACATGCACACACACACGTGTGTGTGTATATATGTGTATGTATATTTATATACATATATATTTATAATAGTGCAGCTAGGTGGTGCAACCACATGAAAAAATGCTCCAAATCACTAATAATAAAAGAAATGTAAATCAAAATAACCCTGAAGTTTTACCTCACACCCAGTCAATTGGCAAAGATAACAAAGAAGAGAAATACTCAATGTTAAAGAGGTTATAGGTACACTTCTGCCTTGCTGGTGGAGCTGTGAATCAGTGTAACCATTTTGGAAAGCAGTTAGGAATTATGCAAATAAAGTGACTATACTGTCCATACTCTTTCATCCTGAGATTCCACTACTAAGCATGTATCCCAAAGAGATCATTGATAAGAGAAAAGTCCATATACATATATACAACAAAATATTCATGGCAATATCTTTTTTTTTTTTCAGTGAGGCAATTGGGGTTAAGTGAATGTTATATGTCTGAAGCCAAATTTGAATTCAGGTCCTTCTGACTCCAGGGCTGGAGCTCTATCCACTGTACCACCTAGCTGCCCCCTAGCAGTGCTTTTTGTAATATCGAGGAACTGGAAACAAGGTAGATATCCATCAATTAGGGAATAGCTGAACAAATTTTGACATCCAAATGGACTGGAATGTTACTATGCTGTAAGAAATGACAAACAAAATGAATAAAGTAAAACATGGAAAGACTTCTGTGAACTGATGCAGAGTAAAGTTAGTATAACCAAGAAAACAACATATGTGGTGACTATAGTAATATAAATGGAAGGAACAACCACAAAACAACAAAAGCAAATGCTGCAAAATTACAAAGAACAAACATGATAATACCAAAGAAGAGATATGAGAAGATACCCTCAACCCACTCTTTTGCAGTAGTGATAGGTTAATGTGTGTGGAACACTGCATCCTCCCCCACCCCACCACCACCACCACTATCACTTTTTCAATGTATTGGTCAATTTTGCTTATTTTCCTCTTCCTCCTCTTTTTTATTTAAAAAAAATACTATTTGTTATAACATATGAGTGTCTGAGGGATAAGAGAGGAAAGTATGCTACGAGAAATTTTAAAACAAAATGTAAAAAGAACATAAAAAGAAGTACTTATTTTTAAAAAACAACAAGAAGCAAACAAAAAAAGAAATAAGAATTCTCCCAGATTACCGAAGGCATGCATGAATATGCACAAAATCTTACCATAAAGACTGAGGCAGGTTTTTCCTGGGACTGTTTCAACACCAAAGATGTTAAAGATGCATAAATAGCATCCCTCATCCTCAACTGCCGTTCTTAAGAAGGTGATGGTCGATTCACTGAGCCCTGGCTGAGTCATTTCTATTTTACTCTTGTAAGGTGATTGGATAACTACTCCATGTTGTTTGCTGAAAGTCGCCATGTTTTCTGGTCCTCTATTAGTGAGTTTCTGCCATGTGACTATCATGACCTCTTGAACAGTCTGCAGAGAACATTTTAAAGACGCAGGTCTCTCCAGCATCACTGTCTCATTCTCAGTGATCACATTTCCTGTAGAATCAGAAGAATTTGTTTTTCTTTTTGTTATGAGACCAATATCACCTTGATTCACAGATACTTCTCTGAATCTTTCTCTATAAATGGGTGCCTGGAGGACATCTTCTATTCCTATAGCCCTTTTATGTCCAAAAACTGCTTCCAGTTAATAGATTTTTTTTCTTAATTGAAAGAAAATTAGAAAGAGAAAAAAAAAGCCCAACCTCTTCCATCTCCTACACCCCCAATTCTGAATCTATAATTTTGGTAGCAAATAGCATCATAGCACTAAATGGAACAGCAAATAAAATAGAATGAAAACCTTAAGCTAAAAGAATCTTAGGTCCCAAAGTGCATGTTTGCAGTTCATCTAGCCTACTATACAATTTTAGAATTATGACCCTAAATCTCAACCTTTGGCTACTGCGATCTAAACCATTTTCTCAAGTTTTATCCACAAAGGAGATAATATTCACAGTTCTACTTTGGTACCATGCACTCGCCATATATTATCTCATTTGATCCTTTAACAACTTTGTGAGGTAATTGCTATCATTATCCCCATGTGATAGACAAAGAAAATGAGGCTCAGAGAGGTGACTTTCTTAGAATCACAAAGCTAGCAAACATCTGAGAGAGGATTTGAACCCAGGTCTTCCTTCACTTGAGGTCCAACATTCATTCTACCCACTAGGTGATACTACTTCTCTGATATATAATGATTTGTGCTCAGGTCCTTGAAACCACATGTTGCCCTTCAATCTGCTATTCTCCAGGAACAAAAAAGCCAAATTCATTTCATCTTTCAATCTTGACGTTGTTTTCTGTCTATTCCATTTGGATTATTTGAAAATTCATTCAGAGTACTCCTGTTCCAATATTCATGTAAATAAAGGAACCATAACAACCAATTTCAAATATTTGAAGGGTTCACACACAGAAAAGGGATTTACCTGTTCTGAGCAGTTCCAGGAAAGACTGATCCCTAGAATTAGGCATAGCAGATCAAAGTTCTTTTGATCAATTTAAAGACAAAAATTTCTAATTTCTAACAATTAGAGATCCCTAAGGTGTAATATACTCTCCTGATGTCAGTGTTCAAGGAGAAGGCAGATGCCCACTAGTCAGGGATATTATTTTTAAAAAAAAATTATGTGAGAGTTTAGATGAACTGAACTCTAAATTCCTTTCAAGTTCTCCCATTCCTTGCCTCAGAATAAGGAAGGAAATAAGCATTCATTAAGCACCTACTATGCACTTGCACTTAATAGGGCATTACAAATATTATCTCATTTAATCTTCACAACAACCATGGAAGGTAGATCCTATTATTATCTTAATATTACAGCTGAGGAAACTGAGGCAGACAAAGGTTAACTGACTTGCCCAATGTCATCCAGCTAGGAGGCATCTGAGGTTGGATCTGAAGTCAACTCTTCTTGACTGTGGGCACAGGAGGCACTGTGGATAGAGTACCAGGCCTGGATTCAGGAACCTGAGTTCCAACCCAGCCTCAGACACTTGCTTGCTGTGTGATGCTGGGTAAGTCACTTAACCCTATTTGTCTCAATTTCCTCAGCTGTAAAATGAGCCGGAGAAAGAAAATAGCAAACCACTCCAGCATCTTTGCCAAGAAAACCCCAAATGGGGTCACAAAGAGCCAGACACAACTGAAATGACTGACTACAACTTCCTGACTCTAGGCCCAGCATTCTTTCTTCCATGCCACGTAACTGCCTGATTATAACAATTGAGGAGTTATGCTGAATTGAATTGAATTGACTCTACAAGTTCTAGAGTTCTACATCACTGGTGAAAACATAAAATTATTCCACATCTATGAATAATGAAGTACTGTGGCTCTACCACTAACAAGTCACCTAATTTCTCTGAGCCCTTTTATCTATAAAATGAGAGGGGTGGTCTCTATGATTTCTACATTTCCCTCCAGTTCTAACACTCTGAATCTATAACTGACTTAGGGGCTATCACCAGCTGTCTTGACCTATGTCTTGACATTGGATTGCAATGACCCTGAAGAAGAGAGTGAGGTTGGTGACTTTGCACAGCCCTGCCTCACTTAAATCCAATTCACTCACAAGTCAAGACATCACCCTCCTGATGTCCTTGGTCCTCTTCAAGAATGAGGGATGAACAACAACAATGACTAAACCCCTAGGAGTTATAATTTTCTAGTATCATTTCCTTCCTAGTATAAATCTGAACAAACAGTAACTTTTAAATATTTTTCCTCTTTGCTGTCTAACAACTGAAATAATCTGTGCTCACTTTCAATCCATTTTCTCCTATTCTATCCTCAGTGAAATTGGACAAAGATTTGAAGACTGCTATTGTCTTTGTTTACAATATCTTCCAATCTAAGTTGTCCTATATCCTTTCCCTCTCCTGTGAATTTTTTAGAAATTCTCCAGATTTCTCACAAACCTTGAAGTCAGTTGCCCCTGAAACAAGGTCAAGTCAAGGTCTATGCTGTACGTTAATTTAACCACCAACAAACCATGTACCGAACAGCAGAGTGGCTCATTGAGCTGGGTCTATTCACTTGATTGGTTATCTACTAAGTCATACTATTTGTGGCCCAAGTCTATCACTTATCTTAATGATGTTACTGGACTTGCCATTTGGCAATCCAATCTATAGCTCAGTTCTCAAGGACTATGATGATCAAAACCAAAAACTCTTCTCAAGAACATTCCAGTTGGTGAGCCACATAGACACAGTCTACAATATATAACACAAAACCTAACTGCCTTGTCTCAATACTGACATTTCCTAAAAATAGTAGGGTCTTTCTTTACCTTGTGCCCGGCACTGCATCACAAGAGTCATGCCCCAAATCAGACTGAATGTGAAACTATGAGAGAAGAATTTCTCATGCACCTAGAGATAAAAAAAGAAGATTCAGATGACGCTTTGGGTGTCAGCAAAATCACAATATTCTGCTTATGCTAGGAATTATTTCAGGAATTGTTACAGCCATCAGGCACTGACTAGTTCGCCACAGAACGCTGTTTGATTTTTGTGGCCAATGCACTTCTGCAGCCAAACACACTAACTTCACAGATAACACTATCTTCTCCATCTCTGGAAAGGTGAGGATAGGTGGGGGACCAAGCAGAGAGTAGTCAGTACCTATTTGTGAATGGCACACTATATCCTCAGAAAAATTCATACTATTTTCAAATCTTTTTTTTTCTTTTTTTACCAGAAGTCTGAGAGGCTGCTGTTATTTGGAGAGCAATTTAGCAGCAACCCCCCTACCCCACCCTCAAAGCACCCTTGAGACGGACAAGCCCAGAAGGCAATTAAAGACCTGCATAAAAGCTGTAATATCAGTAATGTGTGACCTCTTTCCTGATCTCCTTCAGGATATTCGCAAACAGACTATTAAAGCCGGAAAGGGATCTGGAAGTTATCTAGCCCAACCCCCTCATTTTACAAACATGAAACTGAAGGCCAGAAAAGTGGAATGAACTGCACATAGTGACACAGCTAGTTAGGGGCATTATCTCAGAAGTGACTTGAACAAGCTGGCTTCCCACAGGATTGAGGCCCTCCTGCCCTGATTAGTAACCACTTCAACTTGAACATGTCTAAAATTCAGAACATTTGTCATTCAATCAGTTCCTTCTAGACTTTCATATTTGTATCATTTTCCTAAGCACCTAGATTCTAAAATATAGTGCCATCTTTGATTCCTCCACCTATGTTTGGAATTTAGTCAACAAATCCAGGTCAGCTAGGAACAGTAGATAGAGTGCCAGGCCTGGATTCAGGAAGACTCATCTTCCTGAGTTCAAAGCCGGCCTCAGACACTTACTAGCTGTGTGACCCTGGGCAAGTCACTTAACCCTATTTGCCTCAGCTCCCTCATGTATAAAATGATCTGGAGAAGGAAATGGAAAAGCACTCTAGCATCTATGCCAAGAAAACCCTAAATGAGGCCACAAAGAGCTGAACATGACTAAAATGACTGAATACCACCGCCAAGGACTGCTGTTTCCTTCCATCCCTATTGTCACTCTCTAGGTCAAGACTTTATCACTTCAATTCAATGATTCAATTAGACAAACATTTATTAGGCACCCAATGTGTTCATAGTGTAGTGCAAAGATTTGGACTTAGAAGACAAGGATTCAGATCCCTGCTACTTACTACCCATTCATTTAACCCCTGTAGACGTCAACTTCCTCATCTAAAAATGAAAGCAATGGAATAGATAATCGCTAAGATCCAGGTGTAGGGCCTATCATACTGTGACTGCCATGATTTTATTCATAATCCCTGATTTCTGAGATCTATGATCCCTCCTTTAATGTATAAAAATATAATTTTCCTTTTTAGGATTTTCTTACTGGATATACTATCCTTCCCTACTCTTCAGATTGTAAATAAATCAATATGCAAAAACATTTATACATAGCTATTTTCACTAATAAAGCTGTTATTCCCATTGCTCTGTTAGGATCTTTCTGTATTAGGAGGCTATTCATCCTGTAAGACTCTGAGTTAGCATTTTCACTGTAGAATCTCAATATGAAAAAGCCTTTATGAGACCTTAGATCCTTCACTTGAGAAAATAACCCAGGCCATTTTCTGGCACGTGCTGATAATTGAAGAGATAGAACTGCCAGGGAAGATTTACGTCCGTATCTCTTGGTTCTTTTCTCCTAAGTATTAATAGTCCCTTGTTCTGTTTTCTTTTTCACTTTAACCCATAAAACTAGCTATGAAGGTCTTCTCTTTTCCCAATGAGAATCCAAAAGATAAAATGTCCATCTCATTTGGGCTGAGCTCATAGCACCTGGCAGCATATGCCTTATACTCCCTCCATAACTTTCCTGTTAGCTAACTTTGGGTACATCAGAAAACATTCTGTTCATACTGCCATCCCCTTTAACCAATTACTGAGCTCAAAAATTCTGAAGCAGAGATCACAGTTAACACCTTCTTCTCCATCAGTCATTACCTTGAACCACACTCACCTCCCCCAAAGAAATTAGTAACCTTAACACATCTAAGATGAGACTTTTTTATTTTAAAAAAAAAAGGGGGAAAGCTGGGGAGCAGTCTTTTTTTTTTTTTGGCTAGGCAATGGGGTTAAGTGACTTGCCCAGGGTCACACAGCTAGAAAATGTCAAGTGTCTGAGGCTGGATTTGAACTCAGGTCCTCCTGATAGCAGTGCCAGTGCTCTTTCCACTGTGCCACCTAGCTGTCCCCAGTAGGGCATGGGAAGCACTCTTTAAAGCTGCCATACCATCATCCCAATTCAGACACGGATTTGGATGTCCTTAAGAATCTCAAAAAGTACATGAAGTAGATGTCACTGAGGGATTATTTGAAGCTGATGTGTCCTTCATAATCTCCAACACCATCCACAGGCCACGAAGGACAGAGTGATGGAGGTGATGTCGAGCCTTCACCAGTCTGTGTCTTCCCACAGCAAAGACAAAAGTCGCAGCAACCTTTTCCTTGGTTTTCGGAGGGTGGCCAAAGTGCAGAGGTTTATAGCAGTATGGTATACTATACAACACCCTCACACCACTATCTGACGCAGTAAGAGGTAAAATTCAGGTTAAAAAAGTTTTAGTTTTAAGAATTTTGTTTGTCAAGGGCAGGTAGGTGGCACAGTGGATAGAGCACCAGCCCTAGAGTCAGGAGGACCTGAGTTCAAATCTGGCCTCAGACACATAACACTCACTAGCTGTGTGACTAAGGGCAAGTCACTTAACCCCAATTGCCTCACCAAAAAAGAAAATTTTTTTTAAATGAGTTTCTCTACTCTAAAAAAAAAAGAATTTTGTTTGTCATACAATATGACATATGTGTTATGAAAAGTGAAAATTGTCTGAAGTCAATTTCTTTTATTGAGATGTTAGCACAAAAGGGCACAGAATTCTAGGGAATTACTAGTGAGAAAAATGTTTTGCATGTCACCAATTTTATTTTGTGTACTGCATTTTGTGGGTTATTTCATGTTACTATGTTACAGGAAAAGTGCATATTATCAGAATTAATGTTTTATTATAAAGGATTGTATGCAGAAAAATGTATTTTCAGCAATCTTTAGTGAAAGATTACAATTTTTGGTGGCCACAGGAACCAAACCCCTATATCTCATGGGTTCAGTGTATCAACATTCATGTTTTTGACTTTTGCCCCATTTTCTAAGAATATTACCCCAATGAAAGCTGAGGATTGACTGTATATTCAAGATATTTACAACATACATAGGAAGTAATTTTGGAGAAAACTAGCAAGAAATGGAAGTAGACTGGGAAATACATCTTAAAAAACTTGGGATTAGAGCTCAGATTCTTAATTTTATCAAATATTTATCTCACTTCTTCTTTCCACACATTATGTACAATCACACACTTTGGCACATTTGTGCACATCCCCTCTCCTCTGCCCCTATTCAGCTAAGTCCGTCCCCTCTGCTACTTGTCTCTGCTTTTTCTTCTCTCTGCATTTCTTTGTTTTCTGTAAGGTTCAGCAATGGATTCACCAGCTAGTAACTTCTGTGGAGCAGCCTTTTCGCACTATTTCCAATAACTAATTGTCTCCTCTGCACTCTGTCTTTTTTGTCTATATCATTCAACTGGTACTCTATACACAGTACTTTGTTATATGGACATATATATATACACATATATATATATGGAGATAGATATAGATATAGATACAGATACAGATACAGATACAGATATAGATATAGATATAGATATAGATATAGATATAGATATAGATATAGATATAGATATAGATATAGATATAGATATAGATATAGATATAGATATAGATATAGATATAGATATAGATATAGATATAGATATAGATCCTGGCTCCCCAAATAGAAGGAAATTTTCTCAAGGATGACACAAGGAACAAAGTTCTGGAAAGGAGTGAAGTATGGCAGGCCTGGGCCCTTCCTCAAAATAGAGGTTCTTGGAGAAACTTGCTAAAGGAATAAGGGGGCCAGCATGTTGAAGAGACCAGGGAACAGTGCCAAAGGGGAGGAGGGAACTTCCAAGGTAAGAAGGCAGCTAGAGTATGGTGGCAAAGCCTAAAGAGTCAGAAGCCAACCAGGAGAGGAAAGAAAACTTTTTAATAATCTACCAATTACCCATTCAAAGTCATTTTGTTCTCAAATGTAGATTTGCTTTTAAAGTAAAAAGTAAATTTACTTTTTAAAAATGAAAGCAAATTACATTGGACCTGGAAAAAAAAGACCAGATCCCTCTGGACTCAATTATGTGTTAAGAGAACTCTCAAAAAAGCACAGAAAACACTTTAAGGTACTATCAATAACTCCATGTAAACATGCCAGGTACATAATCATTAGAAAAATAAAACTCTTGGCTATTGTTTTGAATCTACAATTTATAACCTTGCTAAATTCCTGGGAGGCAAAGGCCTTTGGGCCGACATTGTATCATCTGTATGTGGGAATAAATATATATCTATGTATGTATGTATGTATATATCTATTCCCACACACAGATGGTACAATATAGGCCCAAAGGTCATGTATGTATGTATATGTGTATGTATGTGTGTAAGTGTATGTATACATATATGTATGTGTATGTAAGTATATGTATGTATGTATGTATACATGTATGTATATTACTTAGAAGCTAGTCCAGGGTTTTTATGTTTATTAATACCACTCCTTAAAACAATAATCAACAAGTATTTATTAAGCAATTATCACCTTTATTATTATTAAGATAGATGTGGAGGATACCCTAGTCTTATCTTTCATGTTAATTCTTCCAAAACAGACAAATTGGTTTTAACAGAAAGTATATGCTAGATATAAATATATTCATGTTTACTGCTTTTTAAAAATTGTACCTTTTATCTTTAAATAGGACTGCCTTCCCCCATTTCCAACTCCTCCCTTACCCCAACCCCTTAACTCACATGGAGGGGTGGCAAGGGACTAAGGCTTTGCCATATACCCACACACATCCATGTACACACACACACATATGCAAGTGCACACACAAATTATACATATATTTATATATATATACACATGTATACATATAGAGAGAGAAATACTTTTTTAAGAATGGGAGGGATACAAAAGCAATTGCATTAAAAAGTAACCAATATACAAAAGAATATGCAAATTCAATAAAGATGTAGTTAAATTGAATATTTTCTTTGTCTTGTCTTTCGTGCAAATGTATGCTCTTATTTCATAATGTCCCTTGCTCCCTGGTTGTGTAAAAATATAGGGACAGGATAAGTGAACAATTAATGAATAAAGAAGAGATAGTGAGCAGTGTGGAGTATATAATGGATGACTTCAATTACATTAAATTAGAAAGACTTTGTATGAATAAAACAAATGCAGTCAAAATCAGAAGGGAAGCAGAAAATTGGGGGGGAAATCTGTAGACAGATTCTCAGGTAAAGGTCTCATCTCAAATTATAAAGAACTTTGTAAAATCTATAAGAATACAAGTCATTCTCCAATTGATAAATGATCAAAGGATATGAATATGCAGTTTCCTGATGAATACATCAAAATAAATTGTGGCCATATGAAAAAAATGCTCTAAATATTGTTGATTAGAGAAATACAAATTAAAACAATCTTGAGATATCATTTTACACCTATGAGATTGGCTAAAATAATCGAAGGAGAAAGCAACAAATGTTGGAGAGGATGTAAAAAAATTGGGACACATTCACTATTGGTGAAACTGTGAATTGATCTAATCTTTTTGGAGAGGAATCTGGAATTACATCCAAAGAGTTATTAAACTGCCTGTACCCTTTGATCTAGCAATACCACTACTAGATCTATTTCCCAAGATGATTAGGGGAAAAGGAAAAGAACCTATAAGTTCTAAAATATTTATGGCAGCTTTTTGTGGTGGTAGAGAACTGGAAATTGAAGGGATGCCCGTTGGTTAGGGACTTGCTGAACAAGTTATGATATATGATTGTGATGGAATACTACCTGTGCTATAAGAAATGATGACCTTGGTGATCTTAGAAAAACATGGATAGATGCATAAAATAATGAAAAGTGAAATGAGCACAACCAAAAGAATACTGTATGCAGTAACAACAATATTGTTTTAGGAAAAACTTGGGGGAACTACGTCATTTTGACTATTTTAAATACCCAAATTAACTATAAAGGACATATGAACATATCTGCATCCAGGGAAAGAACTTGTAAATAAAAGTATGCTTAAAGCATGTTTACATATACACAGGCACATTTGTGTCTAGTGGTAACCATCTGGTGAGGAGGAAAGAAAAAAAAGGATAGAAAAAGAAATTTACATGATAACTATTATATATTTAAAAAGAATAGCAAGTTGTACATAACAGATTTGCAGTTTCATGTACAATCATCTTTTTTCTATTCTACTGTTATGGAAATGCTTGTTTTATTTCTTAAGTTCAGAGTAAATAAATAAAAATTTTTAAAAAGAGAAAATATAGAGAGATATATTCAGTACTACTTACCATGTTTTCATTATACTTTTGGATTAAATTATTTTACTCTCTTTAAATCAATTATTTTATCAAATGATCATAATGACTTAGGATGGTAGTTATGAAGTCAATGCAATTTTTTCCCTCACTTACAAGTTTCCATTTTACAAGTTTACTAAAACATCAACAAAATATTGGCTTCATAAAAAAAAATATTCCAAATCAAGAGATTCCATTCTATAGAAGAATAATCCCCGCTCTCTACCACAAATTGCTTTTGGGAAGCTGGAAAAGCGACTCACCCTCTCCAGCTTCCAGCTTCCTCATGTGTAAATTGGATGAATTCAGTTTTCATCTTCAGCTCTACATTCCCTGTTTTATGCTGCTCGGTGGTGCGATCTTTTTGTCTGTTCTCCCCAGTGCCCGTCTCCCCTTCCCGGCCTTATATAGCAAAATTCTAAACCAAAATGCCTCCGCTTTCTCTCTATAGATACACAACTCCCCTCCCCCAGGTTCTCACCCCCACCTCCGCGCCCCTCTCTGTTTCATCCCTGTGCGTGAGTGGTCTTACCAGCCGCTCCATCAGCCACAGGAGGGAAGCCCCCTACCCTCCAGGGTCTTGGCGGCTTCAGGCACTTCCAGGCTAAAGAGCTCAGGCGAAGCAAGCTCCGTCAGATTTGGCAGGTAGTACAAGAATGTGCAACAGCGCCCTCCCCCTACCAAACCCCCCATTTCAAGCGTGGTTTTGTTTTGGGTTTTTTTTTTTTTTGGCTGCTATAAATTGTCTACTCTTCCATTGTATCTACCTTTCTATTTCTTTGCCTTTTAATGTAGTTTAAGATCTGGTACTGCTAAACCTCTTTCCTTTACATTTTTTATTAGTTCTTTTTATATTCTTGATTTTTCTTCCAAATGCATTTTATTATTTTTGGTAATTCAGTAAAATAATTTTTTGGTAATTTAGTTGGGATGGAATTGAATACGTTAGTTTAGGTAAAATTGTTATTTTTATCACATGGGTCTTGCCTACCCACGAGCAATTAATATTTCTCCAATTATTGAAATCTGATTTTGCTTTTATAAGAAGGTTTTTTTAATTGCTTCAATTTCATCTTTGTTAGTGGTAAAATCACCCTTTTCATTTTTGATAGGAGTGGTTTGGTTTTCTTCTCTTTTTTAAAAATAAATCAAATTAACCTATGGTTTATCTATTTTATTATTTTTTCATAAAACCAATTCCTAGTTTCATTTATTAATTAAATGGTTTTTTAACATTCCATTTTACTAATTTCACCTTTTTTAGGATTTCCAATTTAATTTTTAATTGGGGATTTTTAGTTTGTTTTTTACCAGTTTTTTTTAATTGCATACCCAATTCATTGATCTGCTCTTTCTTTGTTTTACTGATATGAGCATTTAAGGCTATAACTTTTCCTCTGATCACTGCTTTTGCTGTATCCCATAAGTTTTAATATGTTGCTTTATTATTGTCATTCTCTTTAATGAAATTTTTGATTTTTTTCTATGATTTGTTCTTTAACCCACTCATTCTTTAAGATTAGTTGTTTAGGGGGCAGCTATGTGGCACCATGTGTAGAGCACCAGCCCTGGATTCAAGAAGACCTGAGTTCAAATCTGGCCTCAGACACATAACACTTAACTAGCTGTGTGACCCTGGGCAAGTCACTTACACCCATTGTCTAGCCAAAAAAAAAAAGATTAGGTTGTTTAGTCTCCAATTAGCTTTCAATCTGTTTCTGTGGTCTCTTATTAAATATAATTTTTATTGTATTGTGATCTAAAGTTGATACTTTTAATATTTCTGCTTTTTTGCTTTTAACTATAAAATTTTTATGTCATAATATATGGTCAATCTTTGTAAAGGTGCCATGAACTGCTGAGAAAATGGTTTATTCTTTTCTCTTTCCATTCAGTTCTCTCTAGATATCTCATATCCAGCTCATCTAAAATTCTATTCATTTCCTTGACTTTTTCTTATTTATTGATTTTTTTTGGTTAGATTTATCTGGTTCTGAGAGGGGGAGATTAAAGACCCTCTCTGCCCACCCCACTATTAAAGTACTACTATTTATCTCCACCTATATTTCATTTAACTTTTCTTTTAAAAATTCAGATGCTCTAGTATTTGGTACATATAGCTTCAGTATTAATATTGCTTCATTGTCTATGGCACCTTTTATCAAAATGTAGTTACCTTGTTCATCTCTTTTAATTAAATCTATTTTAGCCATAACTTTGTTTTAGATCATAATTGCTACCCCTGCCTTTTTTTGCATCAGTTAAAACATTATAAATTCTACTCCAACCGTCCATTTTAACTCTGTATCTCTCTTTCTCACATGTGTCTTTTGTAAACAACATATTGTTAGATTCTGATTTTTAATCCATTCACTATCCATTCCCATTTTTGGGGTGAGTTTACCCCATTCACATTCAAAGTTGTAATTCATATTGTGAATTTCCTTCCATCTTATTTTTACTCACTATCATCCTTCTCATCCTCTCTTTTTACCCTGTCCTTGTTACCTTTATTTTCTCATCTTACCCTCCTATTGCTTCTTCTACCCACTCCTCTAAGAGGCCCTCACTTTTCTTCTCCCACTACCCTCCTAAATCTTAATCTACACACCCTTCTAAAAGCTTTTTCCTGACCCTGTCCCCCAGTTCTTTCACCTCTCTGCAAGTCCAGAAATCTATACTCCTCTAGATGTATATGTTGTTTCTTCTTCTATCTAGAGCCGATGAGAGTAAGGTTCCCAACGTTACCAGCCATCCACCCCCACCTGCTTTCTCTGTATCAGTTCTACCTTTCACATCCCATTTTATGAGATAATTGCTCTTTCTTTACCTTTTCCTACCCAGTTTTGTTTTTTAGAATCACTCCATTATATATAACTCAGCCCCAATCTTTCTTTCAAACTACCTTAGTAATAATGACAGTTTGAAGAATATTAATATGTTCACAGATAATAAACAGTTGGACCTTAATGAGTCCCTTATAATTAGTCTTTAATATTTTCCTTATATTTCTCCTGGATCTTTTATAACATATTTTCCATTGAGTTCTAATCTTTGTGTCACAAATACCTGAAAGTCTTTCAGTTTGTCTAATGCCCATTTTTATTTCCATTCAAGATTATGTTCAATTTTCCTGGTTAAGTTACTCTTTGTCAGAAACTCAGCTCTTTTGCTCTCTGAAATATTATGCTCCAAGATCTGTGGTCTTTTAGTGTAGAAGCTGCTTAGTTTTGTGAAATCCTGACTGCATCTCTGCAGTATTTAAATTTTTTTTCTCATTGCTTGCAATATTTTCTCCTTAACCTGGGAGTTTTGAAACTTGGCTATTACATTCCTGTAAGTTTTCCTCTTGGGATCACTTTCAGGTGGTGAATGATAGATTTTTTTTTCTATTTCTCTGTTATCCTCTTGTTCTAGAACTTCAGGGCAATTTTCCTTAATAATTTTTGTAATATTGCATCCCCATTTTTTATCACAACTTTCAAGTAGTCCTATAATTCTTATTTTGTCTCTTCTTAATCTGTTCTCTAGGTCAACTGTTTTTCTAATGGGATGTTTCAGATTCTCTTCAAACTTTTTTTTCTAATTTTATTATTACTTGGTGTCTTATAATGTCATTTGATTCCTCTTGCCCAATTCTAGTTCTCAAGGAGTTGTCTTCTTCCTTAAGATTTTGGACCTCTTTTTCCAACTGGTTAACATTCTTTTCATAATTTTCTTGGATTTCTTTTATTTTTTTCCCTGATTTTCCCTTGCTCTCTCTTATTTGATTTTTAAGTTCCTTTTTGATTTCTTCCAAGAACTCTTGTTAAGCTTATGACAATTTGAAGTTATTCTTTGAAGTGGGAGTGGCTTTTTTTTAACCTATCTTTCTCTGAATATGAGCTCAGTTCTTCTTTTATACCACAGTAGCTGTCTATAGCCAGGCTTTTTTTTTCTTTGCTTACTTATTTTTATTTCATTTTGTTATATGTTATTATTAGTAGCTTATTGTTATAATAAGGTTTTAATCCCGAGTTGTAGGTAGTGTTGGCACCTGGCCTCAGGTCCTCCTTACTATTATTTTCTGAATTCCATCTTGGCACTCAACCTCAGGCATTCCTTTCCTCCCCTAAGTCACAGTTATGCACATTTGGTGGGACTATGATTTGGTTCAGCCCTTGTAGAAAGGAATTTGGAATTATGCCTCCAAAGTCACTAAACTTTTATATTTTTGATTCAGCAATGACAATACTAGGAATATACACCAACCAGGCAAAAAAAAAAGAGGGAAAAGATCCATACAAACTAAAATATTTATTGAAGCAGCTTCTCTTTGTAGCAAGTAACTAGAAACAAAGTGGGCATTCATAAATTGGAGACTGGCTAAACAAATTCTAGTATATGAATATGTTAAAATATTATCATGCCATGAGAAACAATGAAAAGGATGTATTAAGAGAAACCTTGGAACATTTGTGTGATTTTATGGAGAGTGAAGTGAGTAGAATCAGGAGAACAATTTATACTGTAATTTTAATATTATAAAGAAAACAACTGTAAAAGATGTAATAATATATATGATGATGATAAATACTCCCCACCTCTCGTCAGAGAGTTGACAGACCAAATTTGCAAGAACTCTAATTTCATTCTTTATCTTTTGCTTAAACTTTTCATTTTTTGGAGTCCTAGGGACCAACCCATTTTCTTCCTTTTTTTGTACAAAAATATTTTTAAAATATTTTAATTATAGAAAAAAATTGGAAACAAGCTGCTCATTAATCAAGGAGTGGCTGAATAAACCATAGTATTTGAATATAATGGAATGTTATTGTGTTAAAAGAAATAATGAGCATGACAGATCCAGAGAAACTTAGGACAACCTGCATTTAACTTGCATCATGAAATGAACAGAACCAAAACAACTTATATAATGACCACAACAATGTAAAGAAATACAACCTTGAGAGTATACAGAATTCTGATCAATGTAATGATCAATCATGACTTCAGGAGAATTATGATGAAGTGTGTTGTATCTTGACAGAGAGGTAAATGACTAGAGGTACAGAAAGAGATACGTTCTTTGACATTGTCCACATATTACACTTATAACTGGAGTCTGAAAACCCACTGGTATAGAATTCTCCTCACCAGCAGAGAGCAATGTCATTAGCCTGTAGGAGGAGTGGGCCAGAGCTAGTAAGATCAAGAGAAGGAAGAGTTTTGAGTGTCTTCAAGCTCTTGACATTGTTCAAGACTCTGAAAGTCACTTTGGGTTCTGCACAGTCTTCATGGCACTTTTGGCTTCCAGCTTCGAAACAGAAGATTGACAATGCCAACAACGCTTCAGGTTGCTAAACGGAAAACAAGACTCTGGGAAGAAGCTGACATGAGAAGAGTTCTCCATCATGTCCCTAACCCCAACTTGCTACACTAGAGATTTGGGGGAATTTCCCCTCAGGTGAGATTTGATACTCTATCTTGGTTGAGATGAGTTGCCTCACTTCTTCACACTGTATTGTCTAGTACATATGTTCTCTTATATATATTTTCCTCTGATTTCTGTTTTGCTATTGATTTGAAAAAATGAGTTTCATTGCTAATTGTTATGTGTATTCATTGTGGAAACCATATTTGCAGGGAAGGGAGTCAAG